AGACAAGGTCTCACTAAATTGCCTAGGCTGGAGTTTGGTGTCCTCCTGCTTCAGCCTCTAAAGTAGCAAGGATTATAAGCATAGAGCACTGCACCTGTTTTGGGGCCTTTTTTTTTTTTTCCTCTACCTCTTCCCATTGTAAGTTTTCTATGCTTGCTTCTGTGTAAAGTGTTAAAATGTAAAAGTGTGTCTTATATTAAAAAGATTATAGGATTTAGATTCCTTAATAATGTTTAAATCATTTAATTATGCTTGTTAGTTTAACTTCCCCTTTCTTGGATGACATATCATAACTTCCAGTAGAACTCTGGGAATAGTACAAAGTGGTCTTAGATGGACTAAAAGTTCCCTTCTGTTTCTCTATCTGTAGCATGGATATATACTTCTTCTGAGCAGTATTGTGAGACTCGTGTGTTTTAGGAAAGCTTTTGGTTTTAGTGTCACAGAGGAAAAAATTTTTTGAATACAAATATGCATAGAGTTCTCTTTTAAAAGTAGAGTGACTTCTCAATTTCGTTGTTTACTGCATTTCATTTTTCAAGGCAGGGTCTCACTGTGTGGTCCAGGCTGGCTTTCAGTTCACTATGTATGTAATGCTGGGTGTTCTCAAATACGAGATCTGAGCTGGGCATGATGGCACACACTTGTAATCCCGGGATACCGGAGGCTCAGCTGCAGGATTGCTGGGAGTTTGAATCCAGAGTGGGTTACACAGTGAGTTCAACGACAGCCTGAACATAGTGAGACCCTGTCTTTTTTTTGGAGACAGGGTGTTGCTGTGTAGTTCAGGCTGGCCTTGAATTCACTGTGTAGCCCAGGCTTCAAACTCACAGCAGTCCTTTTGCCTCAGCCTCTCCTGAGTGCTGGAATTAAATGTGTATACCCACACTGGGTTTTAAGACCCTGTTTTGAGCTAGGGGTGGTAGCGCACGCACTTGGGAGGCTGAGGATCATTGTGAGTTGGAGGCCAGCCTGGGCTACAAAGTGGGCTCAAGGCCAGCCTGAACTGCATAGCGAGACCCTGTCTCAAAAAGAACAACAGCAAAAAGACCGTGTCTTGAAAAATTAAAAAAATAAAAAGTCCACACAATCCTTCTATGTCAGACTCCCAAGTGCTGAGATTTCAGGTGTGCTGTAACACCTAGCCTCAGTTTTAGATTTGCATATTTTAATTAATTATAAATAACCTTTTTATTTTGAAATAATTGTGGATATACATGCAGTTGTAAGAAAACGCTGAGAGAGTCCATGCATCATTTACCCAGTCTCCCCTGTATGATAGTTTATACTACGCTAATACAATACCACAGCCTGGATATTGGTATTGATACAATCCATAATCTTGTTCAGATTTTTCCAGTTTTGCATATATTCATTTTTGCAATATATATTTTCAAATACATATGTAATTTTGGAATTGTACTTTTAGTTTTATGTAATTGTTACATTTGTGGGCTCATGTATCCAGCCCTGCATCCCAGATACAAGCAGTTCCATCACCAGAATTCCTCATGTTTTTTTATGGCCATACCCAAGTCCTTGTTATTGCTCCTAACTCTTGGTCTTCCTAAATATGTCTTTGTGCTGAACTCAGCTTTAAAGTTTATATTTTATTTTTTCTTCTTTCAGCGGCTATGTGACTATGTTTGTGATCTTCTCTTGGAGGAATCCAACGTTCAACCAGTGTCAACTCCAGTGACAGTGTGTGGGGATATACACGGACAGGTAACATTTTGTAAAGGATTTACAGGTTCTATACTTCCCACAGGTTTTGTTTCTACTTCTGCTGCAGTATTAAAACAGTGATAGCAGATAAATCTACTTAGTGGTTAAGTTGTCTCAGTCTTTGTAATACTAATGATTCCTGGTTTACTGTTGTAGTGAGTAAAAGCGGTGGTCAAATTTTTATGGAGTTTGTTGAAATTATACTTGTGCAGTGAGTAGAATGCTGAATTATTATTTTATGGAATGATGAGGGTGTTTGGTAGTGGTAGAAGATATAAGATATAGTAATTCTGATTAGCGGGATATATTTGGGATGTTTGTTTTGTTCTTTTTGAGACAGAGTCTTGCTATGCAGTTCAGGCTGGCCGTGAGTTCACTTTATAGCCCAGGCTGGCCTCGAACTTGCAAGGAT